TCTTTATTTAAAATTTATTCCTTATTTTACAAAATGAATATTTGTGGATTCAATTATGTTAGATATTATATTAATTTATTATATATTATATTATATATAGAAGGTTTGTCTAATCAGACCTAATTTATTTTTATTTATTTTATTTTCTATTTTATTTTGATTTATTTAAAAAAATATATTTTACGAAATGAAAATTTGTGGATTCAATTATATGATGTTATATTATATATGATGTTATATTAATTTATTATATATTCTATTATATATAGAAAGCTTAATCAGACTGTTATGTTTTTTATTTTATTTTCTATTTTATTTTGATTTATTTAAATTCTATTTTTGATTTATTTTTATTTGATTCCTTATTTTAGGAAATTAAGATTTATAGATTCAATTATATTATGTTATATTATATATTGTTCTATTGATTTATTATATATTATATATAGAAGGTTTGTTTAATCAGACTTATGTTTTTATTTTTATTTTATTAAGTATTTAATTAGGTATATATATATGTGTGTATATTTTTATTATTACGTATTATTATTAAAAAATAAGGTATAGGCTGATTTATATTTCCTACGGCGGAGCCTCTACGCTATAGACTACACGTTGGTTTTCATTCATACTTCTGCGTCGCTGTTCGCGTTGACGCGCAATTACACTTGCAGAGGGAGGATGTGAATCCCGGGGAGCGGCTCTAGACCAATCACAGCGTAGAATTAGTAGAATTGACGCGTTGTTACATTTTTGGAGAGGTGCACGTCAGGGTACGCGCGCTACACACACCCTACGGCGTGAGTTCGACGCAGAAGTTTAAATTGGGCTTTAGTCTTTCACTGTAAGGGACTCTAACAACAGTTTCTTTCTAGTGATGGTATAGATGTGTCTCAGTTAAAGGGATATAAAAAGATGCATGATGTCTTTAGTGGCATGCTAGTGATCAGTTAATTGAGTTGTCGGGCATCTGAACTGGTCTTCTTCTTCGTCTGATGGATGGTGAGGTGAACCGGTGAAGAGGAAACTGATGCAGGAGTTCAGCGTCTCTCAGTCTCTGTTGTTTCAAAGATTCAGGAATTCAAGCAATGAAAATCAAAGCTCTCGCTCCTCCAGCATCCCAGGAATTCCAGCAATTCGCTTCGAGAATCCAGACGAGTGTGTGTGTGTGTGTGTGTGTGTGTGTGCTCTTAGCATCATTATCTCGAGCTGTTTTGAGCTTGTGAATGTGTTTTCAACAGTCCAAATACTACACTCACCTTGACGAGAGTTAATCATTGTTTAAACTCTCACAGTCAGATGTGTGTGTGTGTGTGTGTTGTTAGTGTGCATAGAGTTGTTTACTGATAAGGGCTTGAGTTGAAATCCTCGGTTCTCTCGGTAGAGGTTGTTTCTGTTTTAAAAGGAAGTATTTTCACAGAGCAGAAGTCAAAGTTTAATAACCAATAATAATCCTGTGCTGCATCGCCTCACTATAGAGATATATCTGAGTCATTATTGAGTCAGGATTCGGCCTGTCGGAGCAGATGTTAGTCAGTCCGGGTGAGCGTTTGTCATTTGTACGTCACTCATTTCCACATGAAGGACGGCGAGTTTCAAACCGATGCATGTGAAAGAATGTGTGTGTTGGGTGTGTGTTCCTGTAAGCGCCTGAAGGAGTGTGTGTGTGTGTTTGGAGTGATGCGGTTATTGATTAATCATCTTCATCGTGGTATTTGATCTAATCGCAGTTATTGTGCAGTTTACATTTCAGTGCCATTTTGGCGAAGAATATAAAAAACACAAAAAACACAAAACACTGTTGGAAAGTACATAAGTACATATGTACTATGTACATAAAATATATATATATATATATATATATATATATATATAATTTTAAATATATATATATATATATATATTAATAATAATAATATATAATATATTAAATAATAATAATAATATATTATTATTATTATTTTATATATTATATATTATTATTATTTATATATGAAGACTTCAGATGCAAAAGCCTCTAAGTGCCATTTGAAATTTTCTTCTAAAATGATCATTTTTATCAAACTTGTATATTTAAGTTCAGTAATTTCACTTAAATGGCAATGATAATTACCTATTAATTGTCATTTAAGTGAAATTACTGAACTTAAATATACAAGCTTGATAAAAATGGTCATTTTAGAAGAAAATTTCAAATGGCATTTAGAGGCTTTTGCATCTGAACTCTTCATATATATATATATATAAAATATATTAATAATAATATATAATATATTAAATAATAATAATATTATATTATTATTATTATTATTATTATTGTAAAATATTATATTATATATATATATATATATATATATATATATATATATATATATACAATAATAATAATACAAAAATATGATAAAATAGGTCTAAAATATTATATATATATTCTTTTTTGATTTTAATTAAAAAAATGTATTCCTTATTTTACTAAATGAAGGTTTGTGTGTTCAATTATATTATAAATTTAAATTTTTCACAGCATTAAAGTAAATCACATGGACCTATTTTATTATATTTTTGTATTAATATTATTGTATATACGATATAGTAAAGAAAACAATAAGCTATTAGTATCTCATTGTAACTGATGCGAACAAAACAGAATTAAATCATAAATTGCAGTTAATGAATAATCAACACAAAATGCAGATGGTGACCGGCCTAGCGCTCAAACGCTGCGTTTAATCCTCACTTTATATTAATCTAAACAGCAATTTACGAAAGCGGAGAAATGCAGATTTTCTTTAATCATTTTATCATTAGCTCATAATGCGTACTAATTAACTTGAACATTTCAGTAGTTCTCATGTGTATCGTCAGATTGAGCATTTAAAATGTGAAATATGAACCGTCATTATGAGGGTCGTGTGATCTCGTTCACACAGATGTTCGAGTGTTGTCTGTGCATGCAGAGCGCAGTGAGCAATGGGAATAGTTATGATTGGCTGTCACGCAACAGTAAATTTATATCCATGTTCCTTTAGTCATAAATTTCATAATGTAGCCTCCAGGACACAGAAGATGAGACGCTCCATTGTTTTATTTCCTGAAATATTCTGTTCCAGGGAATGTGATGCGTCATAACTAGTTCTGATGAAGTAATATTCAAGTTTCAACTTTATTGTATTTATAAAGCACATTTAAAACAACCTCGGTTGAGCAAAGTGCTGTACAAAATATAGCTATTTAAATCCATACAAAGATTAATACCTTTCACAAGGTTTTTAAAACACACTCTTACTAAACCAGAACACCAGCAGATTTCAAAACAGCGAAACATAACATGTATAACACAATTGCAGATATGAACATGTGTGTGTGTGTGTCCGTGTGATGGGTGTTGCTGCCGTGTGATGTCACGCATGAATCATGAAGTGAGAGAGAGTGATTGGAGCTGATGGGGTTGCTCATGTGGAGGCTTGCGTCGTGGACAGATTCACATGTGAGATGTGTTATCATGTTATCGTGCGTCTACAAGCCCAGAGGAAGAAGAGCTCGTAGTGACGTATAGTCCTTCAGTGGAGTTTGGCATGGAAACACTCATATGTTTGCATTATCAGTGACCGTGTGTGTAACGATGACTAGTTTCCCAGGCTATTATTCTCTATTCCCGTCTCTGTCCAAACAACTCCACCCACTAAACTCTGCAATTTTGATCTTTTTATTTTTATGGTGAAAGAAATGCATGAATGAAGAAGAAAGATTTGGAGCCAATTTACAGGGGGGTAAAAATGACTTTATAAAGATGGCAGCGTCATTATTTTATTTCTACACAGAGATTGGCTGGTCTATTAATGAAATCTGTTGACTTTATCAATCTTTGTTTCATTATATGCCAACGGTGACCGTTCAAAAATGGGGGAAAGGCACTTCTTGTGTTTTTAACCTCAAGTTTGCATGCCTGTAACTCTAAAAGTATTAAATATATCTTAATATCCTTTTAGATTCTGGTTCTTGTATCTTGAATACTTTGAGTTACAGGCTTGCAAACTTTGGGGGGGGGGGGGGGGGACATATTAATGGCACTGATATGAAAAAGATTTCAACATTTCAAAATGTACTTTCAACATTTGATGTTCAGACGTTTCTCTTTAAAAGAAAAAGCATCATCTGTATGTATACAGTGTCCCACATTTGGTTTTCGACCTCTGAAAATGTGCACAATTGACCAATTTATCTCCATATCTATAGTAAAAACTTTTTTTTCATCCTAAAATCTTAAAAAAAAAAAAATCTTTTCTGCTTAATTAATTTTTTTCTGTTGAATTATAAAATGAACTAATCATGAAGCCGAATTAAGATGTCCATATCTCTGCGATTGAACTAATATATATATATACTTGCTGTACTTTTTTTCCCTCCAAGAATCCTGAAAAAAAAGTGCATTTCCATAAAAATATATATTTTTCTGCTTAATATATTTTCTTCTGTTGAATTATAAAATGAACAATTTAATCATGAACCCGAATTAAGATGCCCATATCTCTGTGATTGAACTATATATATATATATATACACTTGAGATACAGTGTATATATATATATACACACTTGCTGTACTTTCTTTTCCTCCAAGAATCCTGAAAAAAAAGTGCATTCCATAAAAATATATATTTTTTCTGCTTTAGTTATTTTTTTCTGTTGAATTATAAAATGAAAATTTAATCATGAAGCCGAATTAAAATGTCCATATCTCTGTGATTGAACTCTATATATATATATACTTGCTGTACTTTCTTTTCCTCCAAGAATCCTGCAAAAAAAAATGCATTTCCACAAAAATATTTTTTTTCTGCTTATATATTTTCTTCTGTTGAATTATAAATGACCAATTTAATCATGGAGATATATATTTATATAATCTCAAATGTCTTTATTTCACATAAATAATGTACTTTTGTATCTGTTGAATGGCGATGCTGTCCGCGTGTTGACTCCTGTCCTGTGTGTGTCCAGCAGAATGTGTCCGTTCGTCCGCCGGCTCGTCTGTGGGCGTCCTCGACCCGCGATCCCCCGACCGCTACTCGCTGTCCAGCACTGACCCCTCAGAGGACGGGCGGCCCGTCAGCGCGGTGTCGTCCGGGTCGTCCGTCGAGGGCAGCGCCGGTCCGCCGTCCGGCATCGAGCTGGAGCTCAGTCCCCCCGCGGGGCCGCCGCGGCCCGGGGTCGAGTGGGCGTGTTTAGATCCTCCGTCTCCGATTGCCACCGTCAGCATGGCGCCGAACCCTCAGCTCTCCTACGTGGATCGCGTCGTGATGGAGATCATTGAGACGGAGCGGATGTACGTCAGCGATCTTCGCAGTATTGTAGAGGTGAGAGAGAAGCGCTGTCCAATGAGAAGCAGACATCTGTGACTGGCCGTGTGGTTACGTGGGTGTGTCTCCAGTACAGCGAAGTGTGTGTTTGTTCAGGTGATTTCCTGATTTTGGTGTGTGTGTGTGTGGGCTCTCATTTTAAAATTGCCTGAATGACTTTACCGTTAAACACACATATGCTGTTTATACAAGCAACTGGGTTCAGGCTTTAAGAGGCCGTTCACACATTAGCTCCAGATTACTGTTGCAAACCACAACAAACAAACATTAAACAGCAGGACTAACATGATTCAGACACCAGATATATTGTTTTACTAGTGTGTGCAGGACACTATAGGAATTTATTATACATTTTGAATGAATTTATTATTTTATTCTTATCCCTAAGTGAGGACAGCAAAATAAAGTAAACACCCGATAATTCTCCACAGTGACTAACAGCATTATTTGGGAGCAAACATGACTTTGAGCTGATCATGTGTGTTTTCTGTAATCGCTAATGCTCTTTTTACACACACACACACACACTGAACAACATGAAGCATTGCTTGGTCACTAGTTGAGCTAAACTGGTTTTATCTAATCGTGTAGTTCAATTGAACAGATATTCAACATAATTCATGTGTGAGAGTCCAACAGAAGGACGGACAAAACCAGTCAAATATCAATATCACCATTTTCTGAACGATAGTGAATAAACTGGGATGATGATGTGAGAAGTGAGCCGTCGAGGTTTGGGACTTCATGGCACTGATCGTGTTTTTCTAGTTGGATCCCAGCCGTCGTTTCCCACAATGCTTCAGGATGTCTCGTTGCTGAACACGGGAATTCTTGGGGTTTTAGGTTTTTACAGGTGTCACTCCTCATGCAGGAATGTGTGTGTGCACCTTCAAAACTCCTAATGCACAGACTTTCCATCCACAGGGTTCGTTTAACGTGCTTGAACTTCCTGGAAAACGGCTATATTTCTGAAAAGTGCTTGTTGAAAGGCAAGATTTGTGAAATCAGATGTATAAAAATGCAAAATCTGTGCAATAAAGGGCCATTTCTCACGGCTATGAGCGTAATAATGCTCGTAAATATATGAATCTTTTTTTTTATTATTATTTATTTATTTGATAGGGACAATGCACATTAATGAACTTCTGAATTGAGACAACAAAACAGACGTAAACATGCCGGATTATAGCCACAGGGCTAAATCCGGCTATTCGGCTTTCAATCTTCAGGTCAGTCGTGTATTCATGCTCCGTTTGAATAAGGGAAGCGATATCTTTGTCATAAAAGCGTTGTGGAAATTCGGTTCATGTACCAACCCCGAAGTGATCAAATAAAATAAAATTGTGTATCAAAATGTTTAGGCAAAATAAGTCGATTTTTTTAGGCAGTGGTTTGCGAACTCAGAGCCAGACCGATATATCGGCCGATATTAGGCATTTTCCATAATATCGGTATCGGCAGTCATAATGGCCGATAAATTAATATTTAAAAAATAAAATAATGATGATAATAATAATGATATATGATGCTGTTGGCATCATCTCCGTTTATTCCTTTTCTTTCTGTTCTTCTTGATTTATGTTTCGCATCTAAAGTTGGCGCTGTTGTGTGGTTTATTTTAGGTTTTTATGTTGCTAATTGTGTTATTTTCAAGCAGTGTGATTCAGTAAAGCTACACGTTACACACACTTCTGTTCTAAAGCAATGAAACCTCGTCAGTCATGGATTTAAAACGTTTTACGCTGACACAATCACACTATTGATTCGAGCCAGACCGATATATCGGCATTTTCCAAAATATCGGTATCGGCAGTCATAATGGCCGATAAATGAATATTTAAAAAATAAAATAAAAACGGACGAAACACGCTTTAATCATCTCTCCTTGGCCTCTTATATTGAAAATGTATGTTTTACAATTTGCAGTATGATGTTATCTATTGCTAAATTATGACTCATCATAGACTAGCTAACCACAAAGCTAGCTAACGCCACTATCGTCAGTGGAAGACCGCTAACGTTAACATTAATGAGCTTGGAAACCACAATGAACTTTTTCTGCCTAAATAAAGTCATGATTACTGTATTTATAACTAGCATATCTCTAGTTACTGTCAAGTTATACTTGCGAGGAGTGAACATTTAGACAGAGAAAAAGTATCAAACGTATCTTGTGCAGAACAGTTAGCTTTTCTTTTACACGTGTGTGAAATCCGACAATATCTAATAAAAAAAAATATCGGCCGATATATCGGATTTATCGGTATCGGTCTTCAAAATCCTTTATTGGTCGGGCTCTAATACACGCATAACTATAGAATAGTGTTTTATCACAGGTTTAGATGTTCAAAGTCTGTTTAGAGAGAACGGTGTCGTCTTAGCCGACCCTAATTTAATAACAAATGATCATTTCGACCGAAGTGACTAACTTAAGCTGGAAAATAACATTATTCAAGAACCGCTATACAACCAAACCAATCTCTGTTACCTTTGATTACATGTTTATCTCTGTAAAACTGCTTCGAGACAATCTACATTGTTAAAAGCGCTGTATAAATGAGGATGACTTGACTCATAATATACTTTCAACGGCAATTGCATGTGCACTTTATTTGTACCTTTTTGTTTTATTAGTTTATTTTTTCTTTATCCATTTACATTTTTTTAGAATTTGCAAGATAATAAAGATATTGTTTAATAAGTGCAATCTTTGATTGTAGTCCTTGAAACCCAAAACAGTAGTGCTTAAAAAGTCCTGGAACTTAATTTTACAGCATCGGTACCAGTGTTGGGTAAAGTTACTCTAAAAAAGTAATTAATTACTTGTTATTAATTACCTCTTCAACAGTGTAATTAGATTACTGTACTAATTACTCTCTCTAAAAAGTATTTAATTACTTTCAAAATCCCAAATCAATCTCAACCAGCTGAATAATACAAGGATAGACATGAATCTGTTTTAATTGTTTCAAATAAATACTATAAAATTGCATGAATTATCCTTAAACTGACCAAGGTGGAGAAGGTTACATTATAAAAACATACTTTCTAACAACAGACAATACATTTTGATGTTAAACCCACTATTGTTTTATGTCTGATCTCATGACATTTCACACTTTTTTCATACATATTTTACAATAATTCATACGAATTTGTACGAGTGCGGTCGTAATATTTAGACACCTCATAAAATGCATACGAATCGCTCAATTACATCAGAAGTAACTAATTAAATTACAGATAAATGAAGAATAATCCCTTACTTTACATTTTCAAGGGAAAAGTAATTAAATTACAGTGTTATTGCATTGCATTGAACGTAAAGGTTTTGAAAAGGTCTTCCTGTAGAAAAAGAGCCTTTTACTCCTCCATGATGAGGTCTATAAGGTCTTAAATATGGCTCATAATAGTGAGTTTTACAGCTACGTCGGATATAGCAAGTCATTTGTTACCAGGATCGTCTGGGAATTTGAAATCGGAGGACGTTTATGTTCCTGAATGTGTTTCTCAGCTCTTAGTTTAGCTCCTTAAATAATCACATGGACTTGGTCTCTTTCTTGTTAAGTTAGTCATTGTGGATTGTTGAGTGTGTAGCTGTGAAGTGCTTTCTAAAATAAATGAATGGGTTTGGCATTGGTCAGTGTAAACGACAGGAACATGCCCATATATGGTGATGCACACCCTCTGTTTGGGTCAAACTGGACAGATTGCTGGTCATTGCAAACACTGTTTTCCTAATCCACACCCTGACTCGACTTACTTTGCATTGGTTGTCTTTGAAATGTCCAGTGGTGTGTGTCGTGTTATCTGTTGAAGTGTCCATGTGATGCTGTTGTATAATGGAGGCTCTCATGCAGAAGATCTGCTCATTATGTTTGCTCTTTGGGTGAAGGATGTTGAACTCCTCCCTGAGCTTCGGCTCTCTGAATCACAGCCAAACTTGGCAGTCCAGCCATTTCCTAATATGAGCATTTGTGTGTGTGTGGTCATGCCTTCTATGATTTGGCCTTCTTGGAGCAGCTCAGTAAATGGTTTACATGTATTTCTCGGTTTTACAGAAAGCTTTCAAAAATATGCTTAGATTAGAAATAATTATAAAATAATAAAAGTGTTGCTCTGCAAAATGTAAAAGCTCTGCAAAGTTGCTGAACCTGCGTAGGTTTGCAATGCCACCCGATTGGCTGAAAAGCGTCTCTTAGCTCCGCCCTCAAACACTAGTGTATCTGAGACTGGGAGAGTTTGGTTCGTGTTGTTCATGTCGCTGTTTTTTTGCTGATGAGATTGATACGGTAAAACCCTCGCCATCGTTACTGTTCAGATCACTGTGTGTCAAGAGCTGAGATTTGAGCCTTCTGACCAATCAGAGCAGAGCAGCTCTCAGAGAGGCGGAGCTTAGAGAGACGAGGAAAGAGCTGACACTGCAGGGGATATTAGGATAAAATTAAACATTTTAATTCTCTAAAACTAAATTAGGAGTCTTTAAAATAGCATAATAGGGGCCCTTTTTCATTATGACAAATGCTGTTTTCAAAAAAATAATAATTTCATTAAATCAATGTCTGTATTTGGTTGTCACTAGTGTTGAGCACAACGTTAGTTTTTGGATATCAGTCATTTAACCTCATAAAGAAGCACTGTGGCATTACCATGGTACAGCGACGTCTCGGTTAGTATGATACTGAATTAATACTCTGATACTATTATATTTGCATTGTAGTCAATGATACATCAAAATAACAGCATTTGTATGCAAAACCAAGAAACAGAATAGATATCCTTATTATGATGAAATGTTTTGATTATTTCTGTATGACTGATCATTTGTGTGCTTTACAAGACCAGTTCATTTGCAAGTGAAAGTGTTTAGAAATGCCGGTTTCCTTCAGTCCTTTAGCGCCCTCTGCTGAGCTGCTGGAAGCGTCACAGGACCAGACCAGTCATGGAGAATATTTTGTCATTGGTTGAGTCTGAAATAATATTTATGCTCTATTTTTTTAATTTGCAGGATTATCTTGTGCACATCATAGACACCAGGAACCTCCCCATCAAACCAGAACAAGTGTGTTCGCTGTTCGGGAACATTGAACACATTTACGAGTTCAACAGGTAAGATTCAACCATGAGGACTTGTGCAATAACATTTTAATCGCACACACCTATATCAAAGTACAGCAGTGTCAAGTCAGCATTGGGTCCTAAAAATCATTCAGATGTATAGTATATGTCTATTAAAAAATCTATAAATTATATTATATTCTAACTCTATAAGAAATGTATATTATTACTATTATTTCGGCAGAGATGAAAACTTTCATAACGCATGTAATGTAATGTCATTTAGAGTTGCAAACGCATGTTCAGACACAATCAATGGATTGATTCAGGACTGATGTGTGTGTTTGAGCATCACATGTGTACTCATGTAAATTCATGTAAATGTATATTGGGAAAAAGAAATTATCCTAATATAATTATTTATATAATTATTTAATTATTTTTAATTATATTTAATATATCATGCATATTTAATAATTTATTTATACATATTTATTTTATTTATAAATTATTTATTTTATAATATTTAATTTATAACAGCATTGACCAAAAGGTCTATTTTTTTTTCAGAACTTTTTTGAGTAAATAGATCGATAAAAATGTTTAATATAATTATTATTGTGCTTATTTTATTACAATTATTTGTTTTATTATTTTAATCATTTTATTTATTCAATTATTTAAATGTTTTATTTATTAATAATTGTATTTATTATTCTTTTTTAATTATAATATTTTTTTATCGGCATAAAAACTGTTTTATTTGTATTTAAAACAAAATCTGTATACTGACTAAATACTATTAAAATATATTTGTAATATATATTTTTAATATAACTGTTATTATAATTATTGTTGTATTTATTTTAATACAATTTTGTGTGTGTGTATATATAAAATATATAAAATGTGTATAAGCATAGACCAAAAGTTTTTTTTTTGTTTCATTTGTATTTAAATACCAAAAAAAGCACAAAAAATCAAATACCTAATGTTAGAATATTTCCTCCCTTTATTTAGTTATTTTGTTCGTTAACTCGGTTTAAATAGTTTTTATATTTAATAATATTCTATTTTAAACCATCAGCAATCATATTTCTTGCTCATCTTTTTTAAAATTATTGATACAAATGAACTTTAAAACGCCTAATTTAAACAGCTTCTGTTGTGTAAATTACTTTACATGCATCAAAGATGTGCGATACACACTCATCCCAGCATGCATCAGAAGATCAAATCTGACAGCGAGACCAAAAACTGAAGCGAACCGTTTATCTGGGCAAGTGTGTTACGTGTGTGAGATTTGCATTTCCAGACTTCCTCTTTGTGTGAACCTTCAGATGTGTTGGGTATCATCACTCATAACCAAATGCATGTTTAATTTACATCTTGCTCGATAAGTTATATCCCATTAAATATTGTTTTCATCACAAGTTAAGTTAAGCCTCAACATTTACAACTTAAAGGTGAAACTAATATATTACATAGAGACCCATTACATGCAAAGTGAGATGTTGTAAGCGTTTATTTGTTATAATTTTCATGATCATGGTTTACAGCTTTTCACAATATTCTAATTTTTAATTTGGGCTTTTCATAAGCTGTGAGCCATAATCATCAACATTATAACAAATAAAGGCTTGAAATATCTCACTTTGCATGTAATGAGTCTATATAATATATTAGTTTCACCTTTTAATTTGAAGTTTTGCACGATATTCTCATTTTTCGAGTTTCACCTGTATTGTCCACAGTCAAACATTGTCATTTGTGAAACCTTTATTTATCACTATCATCAAGAAACTCTTGTTTTCATGATTGTTCGGTTCTAATGGTCAATAAGTCACTGTAATAAAATGCTAAATGTTATGTTTTCTTTTCCAGCGAGTTATTGCAGTCGTTAGACATGTGTGCCAGCGATCCCGTGGCCATCGCCCGCTGCTTTGTGGACAAGGTACTGAATACAAAATACAGCTCAATATTCATGTTCCTTTCCAACACTGATTAAACCTCTCGCATTTGATTTTTGCAGAGCAGCTATTTCCAGATCTACACGCAGTACTGTACAAACTACCCTAAGTGAGTAAAGCGCGGTGTTAAATCAGTGTGTTTGTGCCTCTGGTGTGTGTCGGCGCTGATGCATGTGACAGATTGTTCCTCTGAGTCAATAACATCCTTCATAAAGCGCATCAGACTGACAGCGTGAGTGACGTGAGCCTGCTGGGATCGTGTCTCGTTTGGGTTGGGTTGTTTGCTTTAGGATGTCGCCACACTAGTTTCAGACTCCTATGACTGTTTGGATGTGATATCTCATGCACTTGTTGTGTTTAACCCTTGACAATGCAATGCATGACATCCGCTGTGTGTTGTTGCATGCAAACCACCAGGGGGTGATGACTTTTGACACATAACTATACTAGCAAAACTGTAATATTATCTCAGTGACTCTAAAAATGGTAAAAAAAAATTATGAAAGACTATAAAAGGAAACATTTTTGGTTTGTTTTTTTGTCAGCTTTTTTAACTAAAATATTTGTTAGATCACCCTATGATTTTAAGTTAACAATTCATTAAATGAACATATTTGCATATTCAAAGTTTTCTGATGTCAAAGGTAGATCGATTTAGGCATTGTTTAACTTTTATTGCTTATTTATTGTTATTAATTGTATCATTTAATTTGAAAATGAACATTTTGTCCGATACCGATAATTTGTTTTATCTGAAAGCCGATCAATCCAGTCAAATCCTATAATTTTCGAGAGCCTGATTGCAGAAACACAAGTCTCACCATTGAAACCCATGTCCAAAACACACAGTTATGATGTTCTCATTATTATTTTAAGTAGCCGATATGACAGACGTGTTGCACTGAACTGTATTTTCCTTTTTTGAAGTAATTTTAATCATATTTCATGCAATTCAAAACATCAGCTGTGATTTGTTTATGTGCATTATTTATCGGCTGTGATGTTTTTTTTAATGGCCCGATAACGATAACATTAAAAATGCACATAACGATATGTTGTCCGATATATCATGCATCCCTAATTTAATAATTAGCTTTTTATTAACTCGTGAACTTTTACACTGATTAATAATTATGCAAAATTGTCATTAAAAGTCTTTTTTTTTCCATCAAAGTGTGATGTTACATGCAAACCACCAGGGTGATGACCTTTGACACATACCCACAATGCATTTTTTTATGTTATTGTATGTTAATCTATTAACAGATTCAATGACAGACCTCTAGCAATCAAGCAACATAGTAATTCATGCATCAGAGGCTAAGTTTCAACATGAATGTTGATGCACATCAGTCTCTAAAGTGTCCGTTCTCCGTCTGTAGTTCAGTGGCGGTGTTGACGGACTGTCTGAGGAATAAAACTCTGGCCAAGTTCTTCAGGGATCGACAGGCGTCGCTCAAGCGCTCTCTTCCTTTGGGTTCTTACCTGCTCAAACCGGTTCAGAGGATCCTGAAATATCACCTGCTGCTTCAGGTACGGATAATCCATGCACAGACACACTGCTGACATGCATATATACAGTGGTGTGAATAAGTGTTTGCCCCCATGCTAAAGTTGCCTAAAAAGAGGAATAAAAAATCATCTTTTGGATATTGGTCTTAATGCCTTAATTAGAAAAATGAGGAAAACTCCAACCTTTAAGGGAACAATTTTTTTTTGTGAATGAATAATGTATCATAAATGTTTTTCCTTAAAATACAGGGTGCATATGTTCCTATGTTAAATTCCCATAGAGTCAGGCAGATTTTTATTTTTAAAAGCCAGTAAAAATCCAGGATAATATGCATCCTGATAAAGTTCCCTTGGCCTTTGGGATTAAAATATCCCCACATCATCACACACCTTCCACCACACTTAGAGATTGGCATGGGGTACTTTCCATAAGATCATCTTTCAATGCAAATCAAACCAGCTATTAGGCTAACTGAAGTAAAACCATGCCAATCTCTAGGTGTGGTGAATGCATGGTGTGTGATGATGTGGGGATATTTTAATCCCAAAGGCCATCAAACTTAATTCTGTTGCTCTAATGCATTCAAGATTTTAAAAAAAAAATGTAAAAAAAGATTTACGACAGTTTAAGTTGCTCAAATAGTGAATAAATGGATTATAAATACAGCGTAAATATAATTAAGTATAAATGAAAAAATAAATAAAAAACATGATCAAACTAAAATATAGTGCATCCATTTCATTGACAAAAATAAAATAAAAATTCGGGCATTTTTGTCAGACCAGAGGGTTAAATGTTGAGCAAGCCTTGGCCAATCAGCTTGGGCCATGCGGTGATGATGTCTTTGCTTGCTAATTGGTAACGGACCAATCAGCCTGTGTTGCTGACATCACTTTCTCCTGCCGAAAAGCATAAACTGGTATTTCTAATGCATTATAATGTAGTGAGAATATTCAGTGGGAAATGATGTTGTGTGGGGCTTTATTTTATACATCAGAATTCGATTAAACAATGAATTTCCGGCTTTCTGTTCGTGATTATATTAGTTAATATGATTTCCATGCCTGCATGGTCCTGTTTTCCAGGGTTATTATAGTTCACTAAAACTAAAATCATGAACTAGGTTTGTTTCTTAAACTAAACATTAGCTAAAATAAAATAACTTAATTTTTTTATCTGTTAGTTTCCAAGGCAATATTTCTCATTTTCATGTAGTTTAACTTAATTACAATATATCTAAAGAAAAACTGAAATAAATGAACATAAACAGATAGAAATGAAAAAAAAAAACACAGTAAATTGGCTAAAAATAAAATAAAATTTAAATGAAAACAGAAAATATAAAAATTACTAAATGAAAGATAACACTGTTAGTTCAACCATAAGAAAACTTTGAGATTTGCATCAAAGATTTTAAGTTAATATTTAATTCATTTAAAAACACATTTGCATGTTCACCATTCTCTGATGTCGGTAATGGTCACGTGACATGCAGATAAAGAAATTTAATATTTCCATTTATTTCTATTGTTTTTATTTTAAAATTAGTTATGTATCTGAATTTTGCATTTTCATTAAGTACTAACTTTTCATAAAATCTCAAACCCGAGTTTGGGACACACAGATTTACACTGATTAATTATGCAAATGAGTGAATTTCATTTGCATGTTTTAATGTCTTCAGTCCAATATCTTGGTTGTTTGTCCCCTCATCTTCAGGGTTTATAGCAGTCGTCCTGAGATCTCAGATGTTTGACAGTAGCTCTCTTCTTTCTGACTGTGTTTCTGCTCTTCTAAAGGAGATTGCCAAACACTTTGAGTGTGAGGAGGATGGGTATGATGTGGTGATCGAGGCCATAGACACCATGACGGGGGTCGCCTGGTACATCAACGACATGAAGAGGAAACACGAGCATGCAGTGAGACTTCAGGTCTGGGCCATTTCACTAAAAAAAAAATTTAATTACATTTACTGATAAGATAAAATGTAAAAAAAAAATAATAATTCAGCTAGTTGCTAATGCAAAAATTCTAAAATAACTCAAACTGAAATAAAAATGTATAAAAACTATTGTAGATTATTTTCAGGTAAACAAATAAAACATGTCATCTTTATTTTTTTAAATAACTATTTTATTTTGATAATTTGAATAGGCAAAAATACACAATAAAATATCAAAAACTTCTACATTAAAATGAAAACAAAAAGTAAAAAAAATAATTCAAAATATAAAAGTGATAGTAAAATAACAGCGACCTGTCCATTGTTTTTGTCGAAGGGTTTTTAATGCAGGACGTGACTAGTCGCAGTATTAATGCAGTAAGAGAGTAATATTGTTGCCTCTCATTGTGGTATTTAAATGACGTGATCTTGATTATTATATACCCTGATGTCGCATTAAGGGATGGAATATGACTATATTTGATTTACAATGTTGATGAGTCTCATGTGAACAGATTATCATACTCTTTCATTAACTCTAAAATGGAAGTCATGACTCATGATCTGGAGGATGTGTTCATTAATGGATCTGGGTCAGCACATGTTGTTGTTATGATCCCGTACGGGTGGTTAAAGATCACTGATTACTGCACACAACGAGCCAACAACTGACACTATTGAAGCTTTCATCAACAAGTGTGTGTGTGTAGAGCTTAAATACTCAACCTCAGGTTACTCCACACACACTGACTCTGTTACGACTTCATGGTGATGTTGCATGAAAGTCATGGGAAAATATTCAGCTTCACCCGATTGTGTAGCAGTGAATTATTCTACTTAACTCTACTGTGTTCTATTCTACTCTATTATATTATATTTTAATTCTGTTATACTCTGCTCTATTTTTTCTTTTCTACTCTACTTTATTATATTCTAACTGTACTTTACTCTATTTTATTATACTCTATTATACTCTACTTTATTTCTACTCGACCCTACATTATTCTATTCTACTCTGCTCTATTTTTCTATTCTATTCTACTTTATTCTATTTTGTCCTGCTGTACTTTAAACTATACTATGCTACTCTACTTTATTATTATTCTCTGCTCTATTATACCCTACTCTACTCTGTTCAACTCTATTACACTATTATTCTCTATTCTACTCTACTTTATTCTACTCTATTCTACTTTATTTGTTTCCACTCTACTCTGTTCAACTCTATTACACTATCATACTCTATTCTACTCTATTCTGTTCTATTTTATTCTACTCTGTTCTACTTTATTCTTCTCTGTTCTGTTCTACTGTATTCTGTTTTACTTTATTCCTCTCTACTCTATTCTGTTCAACTCTACTCTTCTACTCTATTCTGCTCTACTTTATTAGTTTCTACTCTAATCGTTTTTACTCTATTCTGTTCTACTCTATTCATCTCTTCTCTCCTCTGCTCTGTTCTACTTTATTCTACTCTACTTTATTCAACTCTGCTCTGTTCTATTTTATTCTACTCCGTTCTGTTCTACTTTATTCTTCTCTGTTCAGTTCTACTGTATTCTGTTTTACTTTATTCGTCTCTACTCTATTCTGTTCAACTCTACACTTCTACTCTATTCTGCTCTACTTTATTCGTTTCTACTCTATTCTGTTCTACTCTATTCATCTCTTCTCTCCTCTGCTCTGTTATACTCTTCTACTCTATTCTGTTCTAATTTATTTGTTTCTTCTCTATTCTGTTAAACTCTACTCTATTATACTCTACTTTATTCTACTCTACTGTATTCAACTCTATTCTGTTCTATATTATTCTACTCAGTTCTGTTATTCTCTGTTCTACTTTATTCTACTCTACTTTATTCAACTCTATTCTGTTCTATTTTATTCTACTCGGTTCTGTTCTACTCTATTCATTTCTTCTCTATTCTGTTCTACTCCACTCTACTCTATTTTATTCTACTCTGCTCTATTCTGTTAAACTCTACTCTATTATACTCTACTTTATTCTACTCTACTGTATTCAACTCTATTCTGTTCTATTTTATTCTACTCAGTTCTGTTCTTCTCTGTTCTACTCTATTCTGTCCTACTTTATTCAACTCTATTCTGTTCTATTTTATTCTACTCGGTTCTGTTCTTCTCGGTTCTGTTCTACTCTATTCATTTCTTCTCTATTCTGTTCAACTCTACTCTATTTTATTCTACTCTGCCTCTGCTCTGTTGAACTCTACTCTGTTCTGTGTGCAGGAGATCCAGTCTCTGCTCCTCAACTGGAAGGGTCCTGATCTGACCACTTACGGAGAGCTGGTTCTGGAAGGAACGTTCCCCGTCCACCGGGCCAAGAACGAGAGAACCCTCTTCCTGTTTGATAAGATGCTGCTCATCACCAGGAAACGAGGAGAACATTACGACTTCAAGACTCATATCTCGGTACATCAGGATTATTTAGATCTTTTTTTTAGTACTGTCTTATTTTGATGATTTATAATTTTTTTCTTTATTTTGATCATTTTAGTAAGTGTTTTATTTTGATTGTTTCATTTATAATTAATTGATTTTAGTGTATTATTTCATTAATTTTTAGTGATTTATTTTAAAATGGTTGATTTCTTGTTTTTACATTTGAATTGTTTTATTCATTTTTAGTAAGCATAAGTGTATTTATTGATTTTGTTAATTTTATGATTTAATCAATTATGAGCTTTTCAACATCTCCCAAACCCTCTCCAATCTGATTTACACCATCATCTCCTTTCATTCCCACATATTGTTTCCTCATTTGAACTAGTTTCTTTTTAAAATAACATCAGATGGGTTGAGCTTTAAACAGAGCTTTTAGAAAGTAGCAGATTGAATTCTGTATTAATGTACAACAGATATGACCTATTTAATGAAATAATGCATTTTTAGTAATGCTGCTTATTATGCAAATGCATCATATTGCTTCTGCTGTTTTATGCATGATGTCGATCTGTCTAATGAATTACTCAGCCTCTCGTTAGCTGATCTACAGGTTGTTGTAACTGGTAAGAAGCTGTTAACCGTGTGTTGCTTGTGTTCAGTGTTCCACACTAATGCTGATAGAAAGTGCCAAAGATTCACTTCGGTTCAGCGTGATGCATTACAAGCACCCGAAGCAGCCGCACACAGTCCAGGTGTGTATGAGCACACACACTACGCAAGCGCTTTGTTGTGTTCGGTCTAATCATGTGGTCGTTTTCACAGGCCAGAACCGTGGAGGAGAAGAAACTCTGGGCTCATCACATTAAGAGACTCATTCTGGAGAACCATCACGCCGTTATCCCACAAAAAGTACGTCACATGGAACAGATCCATGAAGGTTTAAAGGTGTCCCATAATGCCCTTTTCACAAGATGAAAAATAAGTCTGAGTGTGTGTGTGTGTGTGTAAAGCTTAAGCTCGATCAACCCCACAGATCTTTTACTTTATAGCATGTTAAAAAAGGGGCCGTTTTTGTGTGTGTCCCTTTAAATGCAAATGAGCTGCTGCTCCCGACACAGTGGGCGGAGCTTCAAGAGCTTGTGTTTTTCAATTTAGAAATTTCAAAACTTGTGTTCAAACCGGAGTCGGACAAAGATGGAGAGACTCATAAGTGACAACATGTAAGAATGAAGTGAAGTAAAGTTGTGAAGTTAACCATCTTAATATTCTGTCATGATAATCTATAAATCTTGTTCAGGGGGCGGGGTTTATGTAAATGTTTGGGTTTGTGATGTCACTAGCCCATTGTAGTCTCTACCAGCCGTTTGAGCGTCGTAACTTTGCAGATGTTGTTTGTGCTCAAAAATTAACATTACACACTCACTAAAATGAGAAAAGTGAAATCATCCTCCACCACCCCTTTAACCGAATCGGCTATATTGGATTAATCTCTGGCTTTGCTTTGCGCTTACTTTCAGGCCAAAGACGCCATCCTGGACATGGACTCAACAGGTGAGCTGATTTCCAACGTTTAATGCACAGAAACTCTTTTGGAGCGACTAACGTTAGTATTGTTCTCAATCGGTTTTGTTTTTACCCGTTCTGTCTTCTTCCCAGGTCCAGTAAAGTACCGCTACAGCCCAGACAGACTGAAGAAAGCCACGTCCTTCCAGGCTGACGATCTCTCTGGAGTTTCGCTGAAGGAACGGAGACGTTCTGGTGAGTGAAAGTTCAAATGCAGAACTAAAATTTCCACTATATAATCATTTAAAGTCGGCGATCATGTTTTCTTCTCTTTTGTGACTTGTGTTCGAGTGAAACGCTTTAGGAACAAGAATAAATGTGGGCGGGGCTTAAAGGATTAGTTCACTTTTGAAAAAACTTTTGCTGATAATTTACTCGCCCCCATGTCATCCAAGATGTCCACGTCTTTCTTTCTTCAGTCGAAAAGAAATTAAGGTTTTTGATGAAAACATTCCAGGATTTTTCTCCATATAATGGACTTCAATGGGAACCAAACGGTTCAAGGTCTAAAAGAGAATTAATAACAGTTTCAGATGCAGCTTTAAACGACACCAGACGATGAATAAGGGTCTTATCCAGTTATTTCAAAACTTATTCCAAAAATGTAACTTTTCTAAGGACAAATGCTAGCCTTGCTCTATTCTGTGAGGCGCGTTTGTAACGTCACGTAATACGTAATTACGTTCAAAAGGTCACGGGCGACGCAGCCGGAAGTACAGAGTCAAAATCGTCCGACATCGTTGTTTTACCTTTTAATTCCTTTTTTTGTAAACGGCGTTTGAGTTGGTTTGCACGTTCAACCTATGCGTTCAACTTGTAAACACTGACTCTGTACTTCCGGCTACGTCGCCCGTGACCTTTTGAACGTAATTATGTATTACGAGACGTTACAAACACGCCTCACAGAATAGAGCAAGGCTAGCATTTGTCCTTAGAAATGTTACATTTTTGGAATAAGTTTTGAATTAACCGATCGTTTCACATGATAAGACCCTTATTCATCGTCTGGTGTCGTTTAAAGACATTTGAACAGTTTGCACTGAAACTGTCTTTTGGACCTTGAGCCGTTTGGTCCCCATTGAAGTCCATTTTATGGAGAAAAATCCTGGAATGTTTTCATCAAAAACCTTAATTTCTTTTCGACGGAAGAAAGAAAGACATGGACAATCTTGGATGACATGGGGGCGAGTAAATTATCAGCAAAAGTGAACTACTCCTTTAAATTTGTCTGTTGGGAATTGATTAGATGGCTGTGGTCTGCCATTGGCTGATCTCATGTGAGTGACAGGTTGCCCCACAGTATAATAAACACAGTATTCCGTTAAAAAATAAAATAAAATAAAATAGAAAGGTCAGTGTTGATTTCACGATGACTTATTTTTTCATGTTTATCTTTGACAGAGCCGGGAAAACGGACCGTACGAAGCACTAAAGGTAACTGGGTTTTGTGTGTGTTTTTGTTGTGATGCCCAAAATTTTGAGACCATAAAACTAGGGCTTGTTTCGAATTAATAATGTGAATCGCAAAAAACATAACGGCAGCATGAAATTCCACTCTTAAACATAACCTACATTGAGGCTTAAGCAGATTGTGCGAAAACATTTGAATTAGAGTTCATTAATTTATCACCAATTTGCCAAAATGTGAAATCAACGGCCATGAGATTTATTCTTAAGGAATACCCCAAAATTTGCATAAAAATCAGTGGATGTGACATTCAGATTTTGAACTTAAAGATGCTCAAATCCCCCTGGAGAGCATGATCGTCAGGTTTTATTCACGCTCAAATTAATTTCAATACAAATTTTCACTCAAATTGTGATGCTGATAATATTGCAACACTTTACAATTAGGAGACATTTGTTATCTGACATGAACTACCAATATTTTATTTGACCACTTAAATATAAAAATATGAAAAACAGTAAGAAACTGTTTCATACATTAAAATCAAATACAAAAGTAGTCAGGGATAACACAATAAAGCCCAACGACTTGCATTAACTAATGTTAGCAAGTACAACTTTTGATTTTAATAATCAAAATAGTCTAATATGTAAAATAGTGATGTTGAAATTAGCACGAAGTGTTATCAATAACAATTAGTAATGCTTTTAAATAAAGAAAAAGCCATTTGGACCTACGTGTATGTGTACAAAATATGTCAATGGTTTGACATTAAAATTAACATTTGGCTCAACTTGTGGCGATCTCTGAGTGAGTGAGCGAGCTCATTTGCATATTCATAGAACCACGCATACTAAATGAGGCGAGGGTGTCGAGTTACATTCAAGATATTTTATGGCATGATGATTTTTTTTATGTGTAATTTTGGGTATCAGAGATGAGTTTTGAGGGATAAAATGATTGAATGTTTTCATCTAGCTGTATTAGCAAATATACGCACTGATGAAAACAAAGTATATGCAACTAAAATAAGATCTCCCACTATGCATGCTGTTTTTTTAAATGACTGACTGATTAAAGAAGCGCTGCTACACAAAAGATCAGAGATGCAGTGTACGGTTGGTAAACAAAGAAAGTTTCTAATCATATCCCAGTCATGTGGGACTCACGGCAGGTGCGTGGCGTTTGTTTCCGCTCATGTGGGAGACACGTGTCCCGTATGCGCCGAGGTCCCTCTGCCCGCTTTAGCATCAAAGACACACGAGACTCGAGCCGTCCTCCTGCGTCGGATCAAAGGCCACATCCCCGGTCCTCCACCCGCACACATAATGATGTTAATTATGAAGCCCATCAGCCCGAGGCTTTGTCATGCGCCAGTTCCTTTCAGTCCACAAACCTTTTTCTGGCTCGCCATCATTATAATTTGCAGGAAAGCCAAGCAGTTCGTACTCGTCACACACACACTCTCTCACACCTTCCATCTTCAGCTTTTCCTGTTCCTGTCTTGGAAATCAGTGGGGAGTGTCTAAGTTTGCAGCTGACTTCATTATCTTTGCATAGAATTGGCTATACACTTTACAGCAAGCTTCATTGGTTAATGTATTAACTAACCATGAGCAATACATTTGTTTCTGTATTTGTTAACGTTCATGTGCGTTAACTCATGTTAACAAGATTTTAATAAAGTATTAGTAAATGTTGAAATTAACAAGATGAATAAATGCTGTATACATGCAGTTCCTTACAAGCCTTATTGCAAAGTGTTCCCAAAATCACTTTATATCAGGACGCTTTGCAAACAATAGATGGGTAATCTGATGCTTGATTGCTATTTTAATAATATTTTATTTATCTTTGTCTTTCATCTTTGCGTCATCTTTCATGGACGTCGCTCAGGCAGGCTTAAGGTGAGGTTTGCATGTTTGCTCTCCAAGTACATATACGCCTGATCCACTGGTGTGTGAGGTTTCATAATGCACTACATGATTGTGCAATAAATTCAGGTATTTTAATGTTTTTGAAAGGCCTCTTCTGCTCACCAAGGCTGCATTTATTTGATCAAAAATACAGTAAAAACTTGTATTTTTAATATTAATTACATGATCCTTCAGAAATCATTCTAATATTCTAAACATTTCTGATAATTATCAGTGTTGAAAACTGATTTATTTGTGTAAAGCGTGATGCATTTTGTTTCAGGATTCTGAGTTCTAAAAAAAAACTGAATTTATTAGAAATTGAATATTTTGTGACATTGTAAATGTCTTTTAATTTTGAGCAATTTAATGCATCCTTAATGAATAAAAATAAAATATTCATTCTTAATTGCGTTTAACGGAGATATCCAAAGAAATATGAAACGGCACAAAATAAAATCATATTAGAGTGATTTCTGAAGGATCATGTGGCACTTTAATGATGCTGAAAATATAACTTTGATCAAAGGAATAAATTACACTTCACTAAATATTCATATTGAAAACCATTATTTTAAATTGTAATAATATTTCACAATTTTTACTGCCAGCCTTCTTTCAAAACATTTATACAGTGGTGTGAATAAGTTTGGACACCCATGCTAAAGTTGCCTAAAAAGAGGAATAAAAAATCATCTTTTGGATATTGATCTTAATGCCTTAATTAGAAAAATGAGGAAAACTCCAACCTTTAAGGACACCAATTTTCTTTGTGAATGAATAATGTATCATAAATAAATAAATGTTTTTCCTTAAAATACAGAGTGCATAAGTCATTGCCCCCCTATGTTAAATTCCCATAGAGTCCGGCAGATTTTTATTTTTAAAAGCCAGTTATTTCATGGATCCAGGATAATATGCATCCTGATAAAGTTCCCTTGGCCTTTGGGATTAAAATATCCCCACATCATCATCACACACCTTCCACCACACCTAGAGATTGGCATGGTTTTACTCCAGTTAGCCTAATAGCTGGTTTGATTGAAAGATGATCTTATGGAAAGTACCCCATGCCAATCTCTAGGTGTCAACTTATTCATACCACTGTATATCTTAATTATTCTGTACTTTAGACCAGTAGTGTGTTCACGCTAAAATCACATTAATGGGAAACAATACGTCATGCATTTATTTCAAACAATTCATACTTTATTGCAGTAGTAAAATTCACTTTTTATTGTGATGCCCAGCATGCAGACAGCGAAGGTACTCTATTAGTGGATACAGACCGTCTGTCCATACTGCCCAGCACCAACGTCACGGCACGTTCAACTCCAGACCTGAAGACTGCAGTACCTGGAATGCTTCAGAGCGGACGAGATCTTGAATCCAGCACAAGCTCGCTGTATGACGTCAAGGAGAGGAGACTTCGTCTCGAGGAGGAGGAAGAGAAAGCAAGGACGACCGCAGAGGACCAGATAGGAGGAGATAACGGAGAAGATCTGATGGGGGTTGAGCAGGTAGCCGACTTTGCCAGTTCAGTGTTGGCCGCCATCTCCTGCTGGCGGTATAGGGCCAAGGCTTTGCTTTTTGATCAGATCACAACGGTGAGGCTCTCTGTCACCTATTGCTTTCTATTCTCTGTGACACCACCACGCTATCCATCACATTCCCATCTGCTGCACGCTGACTCTGATTTCTGCTTGTGCACCCACAGTTCTGTTGCATGCATATGGCCACTAATCATCCATAAGCATGTGTCTTGTTTAAGGCTCTTGGCCTGCAAATTGAATGCCGTCTTAAAAACGTGATTTTTCTAAACATTTACCATTGACCTTATGAGACTTCTGAAAAGTACGGGCTGTATGACTGAAGAAAATTTTTAAAACTAATGGCAGGTGATATTGTTTTGTACGGAGGCGTATTGCATTCACTTGAAGAACAAAAAAAATCTACTCTGTTTTTCTGAATTATCTTGTTAATTCAGAAAAACAGAGCAAAAAAAAAAATTCCATGAAAAATTAACTCGTTATTTCAGAAAAACAGAGCAAAAACTTTTTTTCTCATGAAAAATCAACTCATTAATTCAGAAAAACAGAGCAAAATATTTTTTTTCCCGTGAAAAATTAACTCATTAATTCAGAAAAACAGAGCAAAAAAAAAAATCCATGAAAAATTAACTCATTAATTCAGAAAAACAGAGCAAAAACTTTTTTCTCATGAAAAATTAACTTGTTAATTCAGAAAAACAAAGTTTTTGCTCTGTTTTTCTGAATTAATGAGTTAATTTTTCATGAGAAAAAGTTTTTGCTCTGTTTTTCTGAATTAACAAGTTAATTTTTCATGGATTTTTTTTTTTTTTTTGCTCTGTTTTTCTGAATTAATGAGTTAATTTTTCATGGATTTTTTTTTTTTTTTTTGCTCTGTTTTTCTGAATTAATGAGTTAATTTTTCATGGATTTTTTTTTTTTTTTTTTTTTTTTTTGCTCTGTTTTTCTGAAATAACGAGTTAATTTTTCATGGAATTTTTTTTTTGCTCTGTTTTTCTGAATTAACAAGATAATTCAGAAAAAACAGAGCAAAAACTTTTTTTCTCACTAAAAATTAACTAATTAATTCAGAAAAACAGAGCAAAAAATTTTTTCTCATGACAAATTAACTCATTAATTCAGAAAAACAGAGCAAAAAAAAAATTCTCATGAAAAATGAACTCGTTAATTCAGAAAAACAGAGTACATTTTTTTTCTTCAAGTGATTGCAATACGCCTCCGTAGTTTTGACCCATGTCTCAAGAATCAATGTTTTATTTCATGGTAGATGTGTCGAAAAATATTGATGTAGCATGCATCGTTTACATATGATGGGACAGTTACAGCATGTTTCGGTTATTAAGATCCAATGCATAATGATACGGGACGTCGGGTGTCTCGAAGTGCTTTTTGCAATGAGATTGTTTCGATTGAAGTTCGACTTCAAAGGGTAATTTAACTCTCAAATTTTAGGGATGGCTTGCCTTCCGTAATTAAATTAAACAAAGGTTCCTGTTTTATTGTGCTTTGTTTGATGGCGCACAAAAGCAATTTCAGAAGGTCAGTTGTCTGTGAAAAAACACTGACGCTTTTAAATGAATTGCAAATGTTTACAAAAGGTTGAAATGTACACCCAGAATAAATGACATCTGACAAATGTGAACGATGTCGTTCAGTGGCGCTTTTTTTATCCGTTAAATTGCTGTACTGTGTACTTGCAGGACAGAGAAGGTTGTTGGGAGAACTGGCCAATAATAAACAAGAGCAGTCAGACACCTCGTGAAGAAAAGCCTGATGACATGAATGAATCTTTGACTCTCTTTGGACAGGTAACATCATGTATGATAATTGGCTAATCATAAACAATGGGAGGAAAGGGTTGACAAAAGGATTTGTTGGAAATACAAATTACCGCTGTCTTTCATAGCTAGATAAATTGCATGTGTTGTCACTTAGCCATATGTGAAATGTTGAGAATTGAATTAAGTTAGCTTCATATCCTCTTTTCTTATCTTCTTCATAGCATTAACTGTCCTCTTTCTGTCCACTTTCTAGGACACAACTGGGGAACACAGTTCACCGAACACAGAGTCAGAGGAGATGAGGATGGACCAATCAGATAATTATCCTGAAATGTGTGGGACGTTAATGGCACGATGCCACACTGATCCAGAGATAGTAGACTTCAAAAATGGAGGACGAGATATTGGAGAGGATATAAAGACGGATAGTGTGGATTTCTCATCCACGGAGGAAGGAACGACTCCATGCAGAAGTAACCTCTCGGAAGATGTGGAGAATATGGTGGTTGATGTTAAAATGCCTGGTGGACTCTTGTCTTCATCCATGCTGGACAAGGCAAGTGATTTCCCAGAGCGGTGCACCAGCAGCCTCTCTCAAAGCAGTAGTCTTGGAGTCGAAGGGTCGTTTGATCTCGACTCTTTGGAAGATCGAAGAAACGGCGTGCTAAGCGGAGGTGCAGATCCCCATGAGAAAGACAAATCCCAAGAATTTAGACAGTCCACTCCAGAGACTGATCCAGACCAAAGACCTCAAATGAAACAAGACACCCTTTCCAAAAAGGACAGATTGCTTATACATAAGATTAGACACTACTACGAACAACATGCTGAGAATCAGGACGCCAGCTTTGGCGTTAAACGCAGAGAGAGCCTTTCATACATCCCTGCCGGCCTTGTCCGCAATCTGAGTCAACAACTCAATGACCTTGCAGACGAAGATGTGGTATTACACAGGAGGGGGTCTTCTGTAACAAGGCCAACTTTATGGTCAGTGTTTAATCTACCAGGCTTGGACGATGAAAAGAAAGCAAAGGACTTTGTGGTTTCTGCAAATGGCAAAGAGTCCGTGCTTGGACCTCAGCAATTCCAGCCCGCATCTGACATGGTCAAGGTGTGGCAAGACATGGAAGTGGAGATTTCTGAAGAGCATCAGGACTCAGAGAATTCACCTGTACGAAAAACAAAAGCTGAAACTAGTAAGATGAGCTCTGATAGTGGACTTGGGGAACCTCTAATAATATTGGAAGAGTCCGATGAAAGCTCAACCTCATCCCCAATCAACAACATCTTAGAAAAGGACAAGATGCAAGAGTTTCGGGGCCATCCAAATCACAAGGTCAACCACCCTCCTCTACCAAGGGTCATCTCTTTAAGGTCCGCCAATGAGGATGACCTTGTCCTTCAAGATATGGAGAAGATGAAAAACAAAGTGTTCCAGTTGGCCAGGCAATACAGTCAGCGGATCAAAAACAGCAGACCAGTAGTACGGCAGAGACCCAAGATGTCAGAGATCAATGTCATACCCAAGAATCTGTCTTCGGTCATGGAGGAGACGCCTCCGGGAAAGGAGAAAGGTGGGTGTAGTGTTTGAGTAGACATTTGCTTTTCCAAATTTACTTGATGGACAATCCCCCTAAATTGCGGTTAACTTTCTTGCCTGGTGGTGATCGCTTAGTCATAATTGTTTACAACTTATTGGTTACCAATCCAGACCATTGCTTAAAGGCTTGAGACGATTACAATATAGAGATGGCTCTGAATGTGTAAGATCCAGTTTGAGGTTGTCAAGTGGGTGCTTCTCAATACTCAAAATTGATGCTTCCTCGTTTCCTCGTTCTTCCGTCCTCCAGCCCGTGACCCGGAAAACCGATCGAGCTCAGCCATCTTGAAGGACTTCTCAATTCTCTAATTGCACGAGGAGTCATGAGTGAGGATGCTTCCCTCGAATCCTAAGGGGGTGGCGCTAAGACGTGAGGAAAGAAAACGAGGATGCACAAATTAGAAATGAGAAGCACCCAGTGAATTGGATTTCCGAAAGCACAAGCGCACTTTCCTATCTGAAATCCTCATTGGTCAATGGATTCCTAAATCAGAGTTTGGATTGCATGACTGATCAAACCCTTGTCTAGTTCCTCCACATCCTTGCGACGCACCGTTCCCTTTAGAAATCAATGGATTTGCAGTAAACTCTGTGTGTAAGCACCCTTATTTGTTAAAGCAGACTTTTAACCACTGCTCTTTTGTGCATAGGCATGCCTGACCGGACACTGTCGCTGACCTTGAATGAGCTGGACGTTATCCCGGACTCTAAGACTACTAGTCCACCTTCCAGCCTCGGTTCTCCTGGAAGTCCTCAATTGCCATACTTTTGCAGATTAAATGCCCAGAGACCACAAAGTCCAGTGCAAACAGAGGGCTTTCACTGGCCAGATGTCAAGGAGTTACGCTCCAAATATAATAGCCGGGAGGACGTATCTGCTTTCTCTCGTCCGATCACAGTGGGTCGCAGTAACTCTTTTCCAGAGAGAATTCTGGATGACGGAGAGACATCGGAGAAGTCCGGAGCATCACGTTCCTTGTCTTGTTCATCCCCTTCCTGCAGTGTCACAGTGCAGAGAAGTACATCCACAGATTCTACATGTTCAAGCAAGACCCTTGATGCTGAAGGTTTGCCTTCGCTGTGTAGAGTTCAAACTTTAGATTTTGATGTGGGGACATCACATGCACTTCAGCAACCGGACGACTTTTTTGACCCTGGTCTAGACCAAGATACCCTTGTTGTCGAAAGGGCATCAAGAGGTCAGGATAGTAATGAGAATCAACTAAAATGGGATGCTGTTTCACAATCTGAACTTGCACTGTCGAACAGTAAAGAGCAAAACTTAAGTGCATGGATCGATGGAGGTCACCCACCATGCTCGTTTGAAAAAGCGGAGAACAGTCAGGATAGTTTGGTTAAAAACCTGCGTGAGAAATTTCAGAACCTGAGTTCTTATACGTGAGTCTTATGAAGCAATACTTTTACTCCAAACACTCAGAACCTTAAAGCTAATATTCTTTTCTTCAATAAGTATGTCATTTGGCCACTGGTTTGAGAGGCGTAGCACATTCTTAACCTCCAGTTATGAACGGTCAGCAAATATTGTCCAAACCAACTGGAAAAGGGATGCCTTGGGACTTCGGAGAATATATTTATAAAATGTGCATTTGTAAATGTAAATTTTTCTGCATTATTTTGTGTGTTTCACTGAGATTTGTTAAATGAGCTGTTATCTTTTTGTAACGTTTAGAAAAATGGTTTGATGTGCATTTTTTCCTTTGGTCATTTTGAAATAAAAACAATAAGGAACAATATAGAATAGCTCAGTGCACACTGTTACAAAGGCACACAAATTTGTCATGTTATCAGAAAAGTAAAAGCACTGCCATATTAAATGCAATGTGTTCTCGATGTGCACTGCCTGATGTCTCTTCGCTGTTTGTGTTCGAGCACTGACCAGAGGAAAGAGGGTAATCTCATAAAGAAGTCATTCCCCACTAATGAGGAGAAAACTGAATATTATAATCAGATCAAGCCAGATGAATGATAAAGGTTGATGTCATTATCAAAACAAATGGATAAGTCATTTGAGTAACATTAATGCACAGTCACAGAATGTGTCTTTCTCATTGTATTTGGATACATATTTTTGTTTAATGGGAGTTATTATAAGCTAGCTAGTTTTGGTTGTATTTTTTTCTGCTCATTGGTGGGGTTCATATCACTGTTATTTTGTATTTTTTCCTTCTTTTTATTTATTTGAATTGGTGTACATAGTATGCACAATGCCTTTGACTTTTTTGTAATAAAAAAGATGTTCAGTTCATATTCAATTTTTCTGTTGTACTACATTAAAAGAAGCTTTCCATATTATGATCATTATTCCCTTCATTCTTTATTATACTTTTAAGCAATGTTTTTGTGTATTAAAATGATTCTGCTTGACTTAAAGGTAGGGTATTATTATTTGTAAAAAGATTTTGAAAATACACAACTCAAAATGTCCTACCTTTTTTCATCCAACGCTGCCCCTTCCTCCACCCATCGAAGAACATGGACGCACAATCATGCATCTGCAAAACCCAGTGGCTGTAAGTGGGTTAGAAATAGGATTTCGAGTGATTTTGGTGGAAAAAATGGTCAAAAAAGAAAATCACATATCCCACCTTTAAGGGTGTATGGCATTTTAATTATTTTACGCTTTATGTAAGGTGGAATATAGCGTGTATGATAAATAACTTCCAAGGAAGGAGCAGAACATTCGTAAATCTCTGAGGATTAATAAAGAATGCTATTCATTAAAGCTGGGACTTATTTGGATTAACTTGCTCCTCAAAATCAAAACCTGTATTATTATTGATTTATACATTTTCTACAGGGTGTTCAAAATACATAGTTTTGTGTTTTATAAGAGGTCGTCTCTGTATGTTAGTAGTAGGCTAATGCTATTGAGCTAATTGGCTAAATCGTACTTGCAGACTTACTGAAATAACTTACCTCTGCTAAGCATTTGTGGGCCACTATTACCTAAAACTAATTCAGATTGTCATCCTTACTACTTTAAGTAAAGATAAAGGATGGGGGACGATTTGTATTAGAAGCTTTACCATTATATCAGTCATTCAGGTTAATGCTCGGCTAACACTGTTATTGAAACCGTTCAATAACGTAGGCTATCGTAGATTTATATTACATCTTGTGAAAAGGGCCTTAATATGTCGTCTTAAAAATCTATCCCAATCTTACTAAAATAGTTAATTCAGTCCAGATCAAACCAAGACTGATCCGATTAAAAAAAAAAATAAAGATAAGAATCAATTCTATAGGTGAAATCGGTTCAACAACTGGTGCAGGGACCGTTAGAAAAGTGTGGGAGAGAAATATGGCCATCCCAAGAGTCACTGCAAGGTGTGCAGATGACATCAATCTTTTAGTTTTGCAATTTCCAAATGCAAAATGGTAGATTTATACATATTTAATGGAAATATTAATCTCTTAGCTATTTAAGTAATGCGATTCTTATATTATTTTTGACTGCAGATTTATGTTTTTAAATAGACAATGGACACACTTATAGTAGGCTATATTTAATGAGTGTAATGGATAAAAATACGTTTTTAAAAGCTCCCTTTTTCTGTTTAACCACTGAATCATGCATTATAATAAATAAAGCAAGTCCTTTAACAAAGACACCAAATGTTCTGAATTTAATCATCACTTGACTGGGTTTTCAATAGCATACATACTCTGCAGTATATGCTAGTGTGCTTTTCCAATGCAGCCCCTTGTGTTAACTCTCAGCTTAATGAGGCACAGCTGAAAACAACAAGCTGATTGAGACACAGTTTTGATTGGTACGCCTGTCTCAGCGAGTGATTCAAAAAGTGAGTACAAATAACTCAGTGTCTCTTCTTTTATTGTCGATATTCTTTCAGTAGCTGTTTTTTTTTGCTTGCTCTCTTGAGTAGAACGACAAACTTACCATGCCTTGGACAATTGGCATCTTACTTTTCATAATGTCTGTGACCATGTTGAGTTCTTCTTTAAGGGCCGGTCCTGAGTCCTTTTTTGATATGGGTGCTCCTTATGGAGCGGTCTCTGAAAACACAGTCCGTTTGGGCAAACTTTTAATTGGTGCTCAAGGTGTAGTATCTGAAGAAGAAATGGAAATATCTGGGCTTAGGTCAGCAGAACAGTCTCATGAATACCGGTCAAATGAAGAAGGTAATTTGAGATCATAATTTAAAGTTGGACCTGCTTTTTAAATGGGAATTACAAATTAACTTTATTCTTAAGAGCGGTTCCGCCTTGCTAAAGCTAAGCTGCGACGTCTGGGTCCTTCTGTGCACTGTGGAAACGATTCAATGACCTTGCGCATTCCAGGATCAAGGACACCACACTTTCTGGTTGATCGAGGTAAGTTGCTTTGGATTTGTGGGCCACCACACATTCCCTTCATGGTGTCATGTTACATGCACCAATAACCTAACATATTGCATGTTAAATTTCTCTCTGTGATTAAGCTATGGCATTAATGCCAATGAATCTGCATGAGGTTGTAGAAGAATAAAATGCACGAGTTGCATATGGCAAAATTTTTTTTATTCCTGAGATTTGTTTATATTGTATGACTGGGTTACGGTATTTAAAATGTAATTGAATAAGTCTGAGAACTTAAGATCTGGGGGTTCAAACATTCCGATGTGCAAAGTTGCCATATTTTCTGGTTGATCAAGGTAAGTTGTTTTGGATTTGTTTGTTTTTTAATGCATGCATTTGTTAATCAGGAATTGAGTCACCAGTGCCTCTGTCTGAGATGCCAGCCAGCTGTGGTTTCTCACTGAAGCGGGCGCGCAGAGATGTTTCTCTTGGTGCTCCATACCAGGGCTGTCATGTCAGAAAACAGGTTAGTGTGCATACTAAAGATGTGTGCACTGTTGCTCTGCTCCAACCAAGTGAAAAGTGGGCCCTGGAATGAATGGTTCTCGTTTCTTCCCAATTCTCCTAACAGGGTGGACGTTATATTCTGCCACTCTTTATAATGGGGGCTCCAATGCAAATGTCTTGTCCTGTGAGTCCTCCCCTCCCTACAGTGTCCTGCTCCCCTTCTGGCATGATGATCTCACTTGGCGTCAGACCAGATGATGTTAAAGTTAAAGGCGAGTCCCCTGATTATTTGATTTTAGAGGTGATTTAGCTTTATTTATGGTCTCCTCTTTCCTCTTAGTTGATGGATCATGGCAGCCTCTGCTTCTAGCATATTCCAGATGCTCCTTCATGTTGGAGTCTGTTGATGGTTCACTGGTTGTCACTGCACCATTTATAGGACGCTGTTGGGATATTAAGGTATTAATAACCAAGTCAACTTGTTTGATTCATCTTCATGTATGCTAGTTGATGGTTAATGTCTTCCTTAGGATGCTGACATGCAGCTCCATTTGATGTACGGTGACCGGCAAGTGACTCTTTCTTGTCCTTGGACAAAACCAATGCTGGCCCCAATAACCGATGGTCCGCTTCTGGACCCATTTGGCAGTCAACAAATGTTTTACCCATTTCATGGATATGCGGGGCATAATTTTCATGGTCGCCCTGGTGTTCGACCTATACCTCCCACTTTGCCACCTACAACCCCTAGTCCTCTTCAAGACCCTAATCAACAAATGTTCCCTCAAATGTATCCCCAGCCAATGTTGGATCCATATCACTCTAATTCTGGAGGTTTCCCAGCAGTACCACAGCGTCAACAGTCCAAGTACCCGATGTTTCGTCACCACATGCACCACTTCAAGAACCCAGTTAAAGCAGCAACCCCACCTACCCCACCCCCTGCTGCCCAGTTTGACCAGTTCATGGGTTATCCACCACGGTACCCAAAGTTTTATGGCCCTAAACCTTTTGTACGTCCTCATGTTCAATACCCATTTATGCCCAAGTATCCTCAGGATCAAGTCTTTCCTCCTCACAGCCCCAATCCTGCGTCTTCTCCTGTTGGGTCACAATCTATGATCTTTGATTGAAGTGGCAATTGATACTGGAAGAGACTAACTTTATTCTTTTGTTCAAAAGCCAAATAAAACTTCAGAGCCTGATGTGTCTTCTCTGTTTGTGTTTGAGCCTTGACCAGAGGAAAGAGTCTATTAATTCAGATTGTCATCCTTACTACTTTGAGTAAATATAAAGGCTGGGGCACAATTGTATTACAAGCTTTACCTTTATATCAGTCATTCATGTTAATGCTCGGCTAACATTCATTGTTATTGATACAGTTAAGACAGTTCCCACATGAGCTGAAATTTCACACACGCATTCTAGGGATATCGTAGATTTATATTACATCTTGTGAAAAGGGCTTTAATATGTCGTCTTAAAAAGCTATCCCAGTCTTACTAAAGTAGTTAACGCAAATTCACGATTTGATCCAGATCAAAACTAATCCGATTTCAGAATCCCCTTTTCCTTTTAAACAACTCATTCTCAAGATAAGAACCAATATAGGTGAAATCGGTTCAACAACTGGTGCAGGGACCGTTGGAAAAGTGGGAGAGAGAGATATGGCCATCCCAAGAGTCACTGCAAGGTGTGCAGATGACATCAATCTTTTAGTTTTGCAATTTCCAAATGAAAAATAGTAGATTTATACATATTTAACTGAAATATTAATCTCTTGGCTATTTAAGTAATGTGATTCTTATATAATTTTTGACTGCAGATTTGTTTTTAAACAGACAATGGACACGCTTATCTGAACTATTTAATGAGTGTACTGGATAAAAATACATTTTTAAAAGCTTCCTCTTTCTTTTTGACCTCTGAATCATGCATTATAATAAATAAAATGATTATTGTACCTTATTGAGTCCTATCAAAGAAGACACCAAATTTTGGCATCACTTGACTGGCTTTTCAATAGCATACTACTTTGCAGTATATGCTAGTGTGCTTTTTCAATGCAGCCCCTTGGGCCAGTTGTTCAAATGTAAGCTGATCGGATTTTGGTTATCGGATTGGATCAAATCTTGACAATGGGTTGTTCAAAAGGGAAAGAAGGAATCTGAAATCAGATTAGATCAGGGAATACAATCCTAGTTTTAATCTGGATCAAACCTTCAGTTTGTGTTCAAAACATGTCAGTGGGATTTGGATAACTTTGATCCAAAAAAACAGGATTAACCTGATCCCAACAGGGGGTAGGATTTCAAGGTGGATTTCAGGAAGAAAATGTAGTAAATTGGTCAAATAATATATTTGTATCATTTGGTGTATATACTTTTATTTATATTCTGCACTTGACTTGTGTAACCGATGTAACAGTGATAAAGTAGACATAGGCTAACAATTAAGCTATTCAGTATAGTAAAGTAAAAATAAAATAAAAATTATCTTGTCCCCATTTGTGTTTTGTCTGAAAATAAGAAACACTTACAGTGACCCCATGTTGGCTCTTCTACCTGTTCTTTACATAGATGTGGAAGCCCACATTGTGATGTCGCATTTAGAGCACTGGTAATCTTGAAAACTGTGTATCTGGATCAGGGTGATCCAGTCCAATGTTGCTTTGAAAAACCGCCATAAAAGTAAGACGGATTACCTGATCCTGGGAAAAAATGGGATTTCCAAATCCGGATCATTTTGACCCAGATTAAATGTTTTGAACAACTGGCCCCTTGTGTTAACTCTCAGCTTAATGAGGGACAGGTGAAAACAACAAGCTGATTGAGAAACAGTTTTGTTTGGTCAACCTGTATCAGCGAGTGATTTAAGAAGTGAGTACAAACAACTCAGTGTCTCTTCTTTTATTGTCGAGATTCTTTCAGTAGCTGTTTTGTTTTTTTTGCATGCTCTCTTGAGTAGTATAACAAATTCACCATGCCTTGGACAATGGGCATCTTACTTTTCATAATGTCTGTGACCATGTTGAGTTCTTCTTTAAGGGCCGGTCCTGAGTCCTTTTTTGAAATGGGTGCTCCTTATGGAGTGGTCTCTGAAAACACAGTCCGTTTGGGCAAACTTTTAATTGGTGCTCAAGGTGTGGTATCTGAAGAAGAAATGGAAATATCTGGGCTTAGGTCAGCAGAACAGTCTCATGAATACCGGTCAAATGAAGAAGGTAATTTGAGATCATAATTTAAAGTTGGACCTGCTTTTTAAATGGGAATTACAAATTAACTTTATTTTTAAGAGCGGTTCCGCCTTGCTAAAGCTAAGCTGCGACGTCTGGGTCCTTCTGTGCACTGTGGAAACGATTCAATGACCTTGCGCATTCCAGGATCAAGGACACCACACTTTCTGGTTGATCGAGGTAAGTTGCTTTGGATTTGTGGGCCACCACACATTCCCTTCATGGTTTCATGTTACATGCACCAATAACCTAACATATTGCATGTTTAATTTCTCTGTGATAAAATAATTTAACCATTAAGCTGTGGCATTAATGCCAATGACTATGTATGTGGTTAACTTGCTTCAAAGTGAGATCTGGGGGTTCAAACATTCCGATGTGCAAAGTTGCCATATTTTCTTTGATCGAGGTAAGTTGTTTTGGATTTGTTTGTTTTTTAATGCATGCATTTGTTAATCAGGAATTGAGTCACCAGTGCCTCTGTCTGAGATGCCAGCCAGCTGTGGTTTCTCACTGAAGCGGGCGCGCAGAGATGTTTCTCTTGGTGCTCCATACCAGGGCTGTCATGTCAGAAAACAGGTTAGTGTGCATACTAAAGATGTGTGCACTGTTGCTCTGCTCCAACCAAGTGAAAAGTGGGCCCTGGAATGAATGGTTCTCGTTTCTTCCCAATTCTCCCAACAGGGTGGACGTTATATTCTGCCACTCTTTATAATGGGGGCTCCAATGCAAATGTCTTGTCCTGTGAGTCCTCCCCTCCCTACAGTGTCCTGCTCCCCTTCTGGCATGATGATCTCACTTGGCGTCAGACCAGATGATGTTAAAGTTAAAGGCGAGTCCCCTAATTCTTTAATTTAAGAGGTGATTTAGCTTTATTTATGGTCTCCTCTTTCCTCTTAGTTGATGGATCATGGCAGCCTCTGCTTCAAGCATATTCCAGATGCTCCTTCATGTTGGAGTCTGTTGATGGTTCACTGGTTGTCACTGCACCATTTATAGGACGCTGTTGGGATATTAAGGTATTAATAACCAAGTCAACTTGTTTGATTCATCTTCATGTATGCTAGTTGATGGTTAATGTCTTCCTTAGGATGCTGACATGCAGCTCCATTTGATGTACGGTGACCGGCAAGTGACTCTTTCTTGTCCTTGGACAAAACCAATGCTGGCCCCAATAACCGATGGTCCGCTTCTGGACCCATTTGGCAGTCAACAAATGTTTTACCCATTTCATGGATATGCGGGGCATAATTTTCATGGTCGCCCTGGTGTTCGACCTATACCTCCCACTTTGCCACCTACAACCCCTAGTCCTCTTCAAGACCCTAATCAACAAATGTTCCCTCAAATGTATCCCTGGCCAATGTTGGATCCATATTACTCTAATTCTGGAGGTTTCCCAGCAGTACCACAGCGTCAACAGTCCAAGTACCCGATGTTTCGTCACCACATGCACCACTTCAAGAACCCAGTTAAAGCAGCAACCCCACCTACCCCACCCCCTGCTGCCCAGTTTGACCAGTTCATGGGTTATCCACCACGGTACCCAAAGTTTTATGGCCCTAAACCTTTTGTACATCATCACGTTCAATACCCATTTATGCCCAAGTATCCTCAGGATCAAGTCTTTCCTCCTCACAGCCCCAATCCTGCGTCTTCTCCTGTTGGGTCACAATCTATGATCTTTGATTGAAGTGGCAATTGATACTGGAAGAGACTAACTTTATTCTTTTTGTTCAAAAGCCAAATAAAACTTCATAAGACACTAATTGCTTTTCTTTTTCCTCCCTTGAACTGGTTATGGCTCCGTTTTAATCTAAAAAGCTTAGTCTTCATACAAGCTTGCCCTATAAAAAAATAAACTCATGGATCTTTCTGCTTTTATTTACAAATGCTTGAATGCAGCATGACCGAAAAGAAGACCTAAAGTTCCAAGTCTTAAACGTAGTACAAGCCTTTTCTCATGTGACCGCAGCTCAATTACTGAAACACTTTCCAAATATTAAAACAAAAGGAATATGTAGTTGATCACTAAAATAGACGGAGTAATGGGTGTTGAGGTCTTTCCATTACTCGGTCATGCAAAGAAAGGGACTCTTTGAATTGGTGGTTTCATGTGGAAGCCAAAAAACTCATAGCATAGACAAGTAACTGGGAGAGGGCTAGTGTGAGTAATTGGATAATGAGATGAGGAAGAATGTGTGCTTGACCTTCTTCTCTTCAATATGTACATGTACACTACTTTTCGCGCTCACCTTATCACCTTTCACATCTCACCAGCGCACACGGATCAGCGTTCGTAGATCGACTGGTAGAGACTATTTTTCAAAGATGGCTTCTTCCTGTATTCGTGAAGTTGACTGTGTATAAAATATCTTCTTATTAAACTGTATGGACACTGACAAAGTTCTCAATGCTTCGGTTTGAATGTAGGGACCCTTATTATGCTACCGTGTTAGCCTACTGTGGGGCTATTTTGAGCCTTGATAGTGGTAATAACAAGCGATTTTTATTTGTCATTACTCTATGCCCTATATACTAGCGTTATAGGCTAAACTGTTTTTAGAGATAAAACTATTTACATTCGGCAATCATGAAAACAAATCTCAGATAACGGTTGACTAGGTAGGTAACAATGTGCAATTAGACCAAAGGTTCATTTTGCGCCGGAGTTGTCCTTTAACTTATGTAAAAATTAAACGACGGTCTATCACGTTAGCCAATCACAATCCCAAAAACATCAAGCAGCTCCTCGCATAATAGAGCAGCTGTATTTGCAAATGCAAACTGACGAAAAGGGTTTACACCTGACAAAATCGTGATCACCATAGCCAGCCATAGGTCGCACTTTTGATGCAGGAGCAAGTTCTGTCGCATAGTGTGACGTCGGCTGCCTAAAACTAATGCTGCGTCCCAATTCGCTTACTTGTACTACGCCCTAAAAGTATGTACTCTTTTTGTGAAGAAAAAGTACATACTTTTGAGTGTGTAGCAAAAGAGTAGGCAAGCTTTGGGACATACTATCACGTCATCTTTAACGGCCAGCTCTGTCGCGTGCTGCGTGCATCCTGTCACCGTAAACTGCCCTGTCAATCATCTTGTCACAGTTAAAATCCTCTATTCTATCTAATTCTATTTTCTACCGTTTCGGAGAGCACGTTCATCTGCCAGTTGTGGGTCTTTCATGCTCTCCTCCTGTTTGCAATTTGAATATAATGATGCATTTAAAACGTAATAGTTGTGTCTTTACAAAAGTTCACAATGCTGCTGCAAATGCAATTTAATGTGGACAACATTTAATAAATTCATTTTCGTCAGGTTAGATACTGATAATTAATCACTCAAAGCTCTTTATCTAAACCACAACCGCGGGGACTCGCGCGTCCTCCGTATCGACTACGTGTCTGTAGTTTTTAACACTTTTTACTCGTGTTTGTAGTTCTAACCGAATCCTCGTCCAACGCGCAATGGTTTGTGGTCAATATCAGCCGTTAGAGTGTGCATCGATCTGACCGGAAAAAAGTAGATCATCCGGGTATCTTTGAAACACTCATTTCAACATACTACGATTTGGGACGTACTAATTCTGTTTTCGAATACTATTTAGGACGGATAGTATGCGAATTGGGATGCAGCAAATGTTTTTCTCCGTTTACACGCAAACGCGCAAAAGTTTTCCAAACTCTCCACTCTGGCCGGTGTTTTTAGAAAGAATTTGTTTCAGAGGTGAATTCACTATTTGTGTGTGTGAACAAAGGGCACAAATTAAGAGAAATGTCTCCGTTTTTCAAAATACCCATGTAGCCTGGTTTCAAGGGACACACACACACAAATAGCGTGTTTTTGCTCACACCCGGGGGCAAATTTTAAAAGCTATTGTAAATAATATGGGGGGTATTTTGAGCTGAAATTTCTCAGGCACATTCTGGGGACACCAGAGTTATATTACATCTTGTGAAAAGGGTCATAATATCACCTTAAATAAAAATGATCCTTGTTGAAAACGCTCTCTAAAGTGGATAAACTTAACGCCGTTTTCGCGTTGTAGTGTGGACTGTGAAGAGGTTTTAAAAATGATGACGGAAGTTTAGCCTTAAACCAATATTGTGCCTGTTATGCTATCACTTTCACGGTGTTGCTAAAGTTCCTTTGGACAGAAAATTCATCCACATTTGCTGTCCTGACGAATTTTTTTTTTTGACCAAACATGCTGAGTGTGACCTGGACACAAGTAAATAATGAGATATTTAATTTGGCTAAATACAAATTGCGAGGTAAATTTATGATTTTACTTATTTTTCTAGCTAAACAGCTATTGTTTATTAATATTGTGATAATAATAATATAGCCTAGGCTACTTCATTGAAATTGTGACTGGCATTCTGCAACGAATTTAAAATATCTGAATGATTTTACAGGTTGGAAGCAAGTGCAAGGATCTCTGTTGTGATTTCGATGATGATGATGGTTATATTGATGGACTCCTCCCCTCCCGGTGAGCAGGTTTTAAGTTCTGAGTCTCTGGAGGTCTGATTCTAGACAGACATGGAGAAGCTGAGCGACACACACCGCTAGGGCTAAAACAACCAGCTGACTGAGAATAACCAGCGGCTTATCTGACAGACAGCTGAGGAAGTTTGGCTCGTGTCAGGATCAGGATCAGGATTAGGATGGGCTGCGCGATATCAGGATCCGGATTGACTCCGAGAACACCGGAGATCAGAAGCACGGAGGACGCGGAAGCTCCGGCACGTCTCACGCCGCGTCACATACACCTGATCAAGGAGTCCTGGAAAGTCATCCAGGAGGACATCGCCAAAGTGGGAATTATCATGTTTGTCAGGTGACAATTGTCTTATGATTTATTATTAACACACGTTTATTTGGGTATATCGCTTTTCGAAATACAAACGCAGAGAAAATGCATTTTTCAATCCGTGATTTCACTAGTCAATATCAAAACAAATCATTTCCACGAATTTAATTATTAATAACAGATCCTGATATATTTTTAGACCTGTTGATCCATCCATCCATCCATCCTATATGTAGCCTTTTTGAAAAAGTTTGAACATTTCCACTAATACACAAACAAAATATACTGTTAATTTAACATGTAAATCCTATAGCTGGGCTGGGGCAATTGGTCTCAAAATAAATCAGATATAGCCTATTGTTATGTATTACAGCTTATTCATCGTCTAGATTTATAAAATATATCTATATTATTTTTAAAAGTTAACACAAGAACCACATTTACGTTTAAGAATAATAAGTCTCACACAGCAAGTCAATCACAGTGCAACATTAAATATGGTTAAAGTTTTTCAAGTACGTTATGTAATGAGAAAATTTTAATCTGAGAAACTGAAACAGTTTTTACCATCCAATCAGTAATCAGTCAATCAAATCAAGTACCGCCTCTTGTTGCATATTTACAATTCACATTACGAACACAAAATGGCATTTCACATTGACTTTAAGTCCAATGCGTGTGTCAATGCTTTGCACTATTGAGGAATATAGAGTTTTTCCTCTTGGTTGCATTTTTAATGCATCTCTGGCATCACGTAAAAGTACAACGTGCATCTCAAAAGTAGAGAACTGAGAAAAGCGCACACAGAACAGCTGAATCCGGTGAAAATTATGATTCTGAAGCAACTTTCCCAGTCTCTAGAGAGCTGATGCTCCTCTTTTATCCATATTAACATCAGTGACTGTGTGCCAGACTTTCTTTTGAGCTGAAATTAATCTGATCTTTTATTAATTGTTATATTAAACCTTTATTAGCAGTGCTCATTTATATGATCTCTGTATTCTGTTATTGTTGTGTAATATTGATTTTGAATCTGACAGCTGCATCGTGATTGCTGAGGGGAAATTCATATCAGCATTTTGCAGAAAATTGGTTTTGTGGGCTTATTATGTCCTTTTTTTTCTGGTATCACAGTATTAAATCTGTGATGTATCCATCACACAGACACTCTGTAGACGTAATAAATCTTTCCAAACATATCAGGACACATTCATTTGTCAGCAGAACCAACATTTGCTGCTCACGAAACAGATTCATTTGCAGTTTGTGTGTGTGAAACAGCTGTTATTATGAAGATATGAATGCAAATGAAGAGAAGCAGTCTCTGAAGAGTTTCAAATCACACCGATGATGAAAGGACAGACCTGAAGATTGATCAGATCCTTTCTCCTCACTCACGTCACGTCTTTTAATCAGCTGGAGAATCTTACTCAATGTATGTCACAAGTCACACTTAACCCATGAATTATGGTCAAATTCTGGGATTTATCATAAACTGACCCTATTTGGGATGGATTAAATCTAATTAAAAAATAAATCACACTATGACAAAAAATTATAAACAATGCTTTAACATTAATAGTCACACATAATGATTGTAAAAACATCTATTTAGTAAGTCCCCCCCCCCCCCCCCCCCAACAAACTAAGCTTTATAAATATTTTATTGAAGCATGTTTCCATCATGAAATAAAACATAAAAAAGGTAATTTCGGCAACTTGAATTTTAAGAAATAAAGTCTGAGTTGTGAAAATAAAAGGTCAAAAATACTTTTTTTTAATTTCTATACTCTGTGTTGTAAAGTTTGCGTAGTATATAACTGTTTTTAACATTTTAAGTGTAGAAAAGCACTAACACCTGAAGCTCAAACACTGCGCTCGCAACGCCAAGATCATGGGTTCAGTGCACAACAATAATGTACAGCATTAGTACAGTGTAAAAAAAAAAATTAA